CATCGCCGATCAAGGTCCACATATCGCTTGTACTGTCCGGGTTGTCCTTTGCCGCGTCCTGTGTGCCTGAGCTCAGCGCCGATTGACCGCCGTTTTTCACCTCTTCTCGAAGGGCTTCTACCTGGGAAAGCACAACTTCAGGTTCAGCCTTAAGCTTAAGATTTTCATCTTGACTCTTCTCGATATCCTCTATGGATATGGCTGACCTTGAATCGACTCCAAATACTGTTTGTACAGGGTCATGAATTTTGTCCTTGTTGTTGTCACGTGTGTCAGTCGCTGTTTGGCAATCTTCATTATCTTGGCCAATATTTAGGCTGTTGATGCCATCAACCAACCAACTGTACTTTTCTTCTTCGCCCGCTTTTAGTTTTGCCGAAGTATCGCGGAAACAACGCCGAAAGAAGAGGCTATGAATACCTCTTCTTTGTGAACTAGTCGTCGATCCAAGTGCCCGCCATTTTTAAGATTCGAGAGTTGCACTGTGTTAAATTCTTTTGGAAAGCTTGACACCAAAGGGCTACTCGACATGAATTTTCCTACAGGAATGCCGCATATTTTGGAATTCAGGAGATACCAGTCCCTCGAATCGCTCGTGGAGTGCAGCAATTCAGCTCTTCGAATATCGAAGGCATCCATGCCGCACAGCACCTGATCGAAATGAGAACAAATTTCCCACTCTTGTGAGTAATGTCTGAAATTCAACCTCAAGAAATGTCTAAAGAAAAATCCAGCCCCTCAAAATAAACAGGATTGACGCCATTGGAGGTTGTACACAACGGTGTTAATGTAATCACCGAACACTCCCCTGTTGAAACCACAAATCGAAAGCGATGATAGCTACCGAGCCGGATCATGACGTCACACCATAGCAACCAAACCCCACGAATTTTTGAACATCCGGTTTGCTCTGGCTCGTCATATATATATGTATATATATATATATATATATATATATATAAAAGTTGATATACAAATAATATATATATATATGTTATATTTTTATATTTTATGTTTGAAAACAAATGTTTAAACATTTATTTCTCGGTTTATCGCTACATCAGTCTTTTCCTCGATTAATTTTTTTCCTTCTCGATGGGTAATTTACAATTTCGCATGACAGTTTTTCATTCTCGCACAATAATTTTTATTTTCCCAATCTCACATATTAATCACTGAAACTCGATAGGTAATTTTGAACCCAACCCACTTTTGTTATATTTGGCGATTTGGCTCGCCATCAGGCTGGCTCGCCATACGTTATTATAACCTTGAAAACCTACATATTGGTTCACTCTTAACTGTCATTAAAAATAAGATGTCCTGCAGACAGCTCTGACAAACACTTCCGTGACGCTTCAGTGCATTACTGATTAGCATCATTTTCACTTCGAGCAAATTCAAGGCGTTGTCTTGGTGTTTCAACGGTTTCATCAAACATGGAGAGGATTCTGATCGTTCTGATGCTCTTTATCACCGTCCACTATGCATATTCAGGTGTGCCAACCTTTCATTGTTACGATTATCACAAAGATTCTTATAGCTGGGTATCATCATTGAGTTTTCTTCCTCATTGCCTTCTTTCCTTTTCGGTAATCTTTCGTTTTTCATTTCTTTCGTAAGTGTTTCACTTGCATGATTTAGTAACACAAAATAAGACTGAATGTCGAAGGAGATTTCGCTTTCTCAGTTTTGTTGCTCGTTTCATCGGCTCAGCTTATTTGTTGGAAGCATGTACTAAAGCTAAGGTGCTTCTCCTCCTTTCAATTATAATTACAAGTCCAAGCTCGGTTTCGATTGTTCGTTGGTTTTGTGCGTGTTATCATATCCTCGCGACAGACATCGCTTGGAATGGCTGCAAGCCCTAACTTGGTTCGAAAACTTTGCGATATCGCAACGACATATTGTAGTAATATCGTGCTGAAAACGTTGTTCGTGTACACACGCAATAACGAAGTTGCAACGGCAACTTTCAAGCTTGAAAACTGTCTGCTCTAGCTGAGGAGCTTAAGGAGTTACAAGAAATTTATTTTAAGATCCTTTGATGTGAAGTAAATGTCACCTTCTTGGTGAGCATGGTCAGTTTTTTTTAGATACTTTGGCATTATTCGTAGTTTGTGGAAACGATAATTCAAACTCGTTCTTGTTTGAGGGTCGTGCCAAATGATTTGCCTTTTCTTAAAAGATGTAACCTAAACACATATAAAATTCTGGCAGCTTTTCCTGTCTACTAGTCTACGCCGATTGAATTATTAAGAACAACAACAACGAATTAATTCAGTTAGATCTGAAGCTCAAGTCCTGTATGGGCACAGTATTTGATGACTAATGCAGAGATCGAGCTATTTGTGTATTTAGTAAAGATTTTATTTTTCTCGGGCTCAATAGAAAGAGAAGGAATCTTTCCTCATTTATGTCTTTATTCCATAGAGAGTTTAAGAGTTCAAAGTGAAAGTAAATATCTTTTGTAACTGGATATTTAATGAAACTAACCATCACGTACGGGCGAAAATAGTTGAAAAGTTAGAGTGATTCTCGAGTGGCTAGGCAAAATATCTGCTCTTGCACATCGGGTAATGATGGAAAACACGGGGTTACCTGGATTTGCTGAGAAAGCAGATGGAGAATAAGATTTTTTCGCCAAGAAATCACCCTTCTTTCCCGGGGCTTCCTAATCATAGACTCAAGAGACGAGGTCAGCTAATTACTTTTCCTCAGAGCATGATACTGATAGCTAGTTTGACGCTCCTTGTCATATGGAACAATAGTCTGTTCACGACACGTTTTAAGTTTTTGTCTGATTGGTCAACTGGGTGGCACGACTTTTTCTAGACCAATCACGAAGCGAAGCTAAGGGTAACTTATACATTCGTGTTGTATCGTCACCACCAAAAATATAAGGATGTCAAATAGATCAGCAAACACAAAGCTGGTGTAAAGATCAGCTGTAGGATAGAATAGCTAGTAAAGGAATGGCATGGCCAAATTATACACGATTTAGTTTGCCTTCATGAAACAGAACACCCTAAACATGAATAGTCTAGCCAAATGATAAACGGTCCACTTGCCTAGGTCGAGTTGATGAAATTGTGAAATGGACTAGCTCAACTACGAATAGCTTAGCGCTCATTTGCAATACAGTACACAAACGGTGTAGCGTTGCGTCAAATGGCACAGGGTAATGTCGAGTAGCACAGCGTACGCACAAACGGTGTAGCGTTGCGTGAAATAGCTCAGCGTAATGTAGAACGGTACAGCGTACATACGAACATTGTAGCGTTGCGTGAAATGGCTCAGCGTAATGTCGAATGGTACAGCGTACACACAAATGGTGTAGCGTTGCGTGAAATGGGTCAGCGTAATGTCGAATGGCACAGCGTACATATAAATGATGTAGCGTCGTGTCGAATAGCTTTGCAGAACATCAGACGCTGTATCTGAACATTAAATTGCTTAGCATTGCACGAAATATTTCGATGTTGTGGTGAATCGTCGAGCTTGCTTGTGGCGTGAAGGCTATCTCGCCGAAACCACCAAAAATACAAACCGCAAATGGAACAGCGATCTGCTGGGGGGCATGACGTCATCGAATGAGAAGACTGTCGCGAAACCATCACATGGTGTAGTCGCTGTGTTTAGATAGATAGAGATAGACTGTTTATTCACAAATACATCGCAGTCATTAGACTGAATTGCGTATTTCACAGAGAAATATATAAATAGGCAAATGTTAAAACTAATCACAAACATATGTACATGATATCAAAATATAAGTATCTAATGGGATTAAAATATGTATAGTTACTAGCTAAGTACTACGCGTTGTTTGTTGCTAGGCGTGTTTAGTCGAGTAGTTTAAGATTCTTCACTTCGCCTTCCCGTAAAGCAGAGCCATTCAGTAAGTTTCTCCTTTTTTCCCCCTCCGATATTGCATTTATTCGTTGTCGTTCATGAAAGCGTTAATTAAAATAGAAACGAGACTGGATTCTACCCCGGTTTGCCGGCCTCCCGCGGCAGTCTTCACATTTGATGACGTCATATTCCCAGCAGATCGCTGTTCCATTTGCGGTTTGTAATTTTGGTGGTTTTGGCGAGATAGCCTTGGCGGCCGAAACCACCAAAAATACAAAGATGTAAAATAGATCAGCAAATACAAAGATGGTTTAAGGATCAGCTGCAAGATAGCATAGCTAATAATGAAATAATAAGGAATGACATAGCCTTCACGTCACGCCACAAGCAAGCTCGACGATTCGCCACAACTTCGAAATATTTCAAGTAATACTAAGCAATTTAATGTTCAGATAGAGCGTCTGATGTTCTGCAAAGCTATTCGACATAACGCTACACTATTTGTGTCTACGCTGTAACATTCTACATTACGCTGAGCCATTTCACGCAACGCTAGACCATTTGTGTGTACGCTGTACCATTCGACATTACGCTGAGCCATTTCACGCAACGCTACACTGTTTGTATGTCCGCTGTACCATTCGACATTAGGCTGAGCCATTTCACGCAACGCTACACCATATGTGTGTGCGCTGTACCATTCTACATTGCGCTGAGCCATTTCACGTAACGCTACACCGTTTGTGCGTACGCTGTGCTACTCGACGTTACCCTGAGCCATTTGACGCAACGCAACACCGTTTGCGTACTGTATTGCAAATGAGTCCTAAGCTATTCGCGATTGAGCTAGTCCATTTCACAATTTCATGTTCCAACTCGACATCGGCAACTAGACCGTTTATCATTTGGCTAAACTATCCATGTTTAGGGTGTTCTGTTTCACGAAGGAAAACTAAACCGTCCATAATTTTGATCATGCCATTCCTTTATTAGCTATTCTATATTGGATCTGATCTAGACCAGCTTTGTATTTGCTGATCTATTTGACATCCTTGTATTTATGGTGGTGACGGCCGCCCATAGTCGATGCTCAATCTCTTTCCACTGATGCCAAATTAATTTTAGAAAAGTGCGGAAGTCAGTCTTCAATAGAAGTAAACCATGTACATACATACATACATATACACATACATACATACTTTATTGCATAGCTTCCCCTTGGGGGCTCTTCTGCCACACATGAAAATCAAAACATCAAGTTACAAAGAAAAAAGAAAAAAGAAAAAAGAAAAAAAACTATTTACAGATAAAAATATAAATTATAAAAACAGCTTACATTTCGATGATAAAAAATATCATCTTATGATCTATGAATTAAAATATTTATAAAAAAATTTCTCTCCAAAAAGGTTAAGGCTTTTTGTGTTTCTGATCTCCTCTGGTAACGAGTTAAACATTTTTACCCCACGGTAGGCAAAAGCCCTTTGGCCAGTCGAGATTCTGCCTTTGGGCAACGTCTGGTCGTTCTTTTGCCTGGTGTCTCTTTGGTAAATTTCAGAACGGTGTTGAAATCGCTCACGAAGATAGTCCGGAGTCAAGTTGTTCATGCATTTGTAAACCATAACTAAGTCGATGAAGAGCAGTTTTCCCCTCACATTAAGGCATTTAAAGGACTTCAGGGCTTCTGAAATATGATCATACTTATTTAAGCCAGCTACGATCCTGCAGGTGTAATTCTGGACAAACTGAAGTTTTCTAATATTCTCTTTGCTGGTGTTGTTCCAAACTGTCGAACAGTAAAATAATTTGCAAAAGACGAAAGCTTTTATCAGATAAATCAGGGTTCTTTGACCCAAAAGCTGCTTTATCCTATTGACCCTCGTTAGTTTAAACATACAGTCAGAGGCAGTTTTAGTAATATGCTCATTACAGTTAAGATAACAATCGATGTGCACTCCTAGGTCCTTTGTTACTCCCACAGGCTTAATTTCAGTTGCCAATATTGTAATTTCAGTTGCCA